TCTTCTTGTTTCCATACCCATGTAGAAGTCCTAAATCGGAAGGTTCATGCACGCCATGGGGTATTGATTGTGGAATTAATGTCTACGGAGAAGAAATTAAGCTGGACGGCCACTGATAAACGCCCATAGTGTATGGAATATCTTGATGCTTGCTCCTGTTAGCATTTTTAGAAACTGCTTAGAGTAACCCTGCTTCGGAGATATAAGCTATATCTGTCAATTTGCTGAGCATATGCACAAGATAAGAGCCATGCTTCACGATCTACAGAGGCATCTGTTGGACTAACTATCCATAAGGTTGCAGGACGATACTCTAATCCCTTCATATTACAGCTGTAACAACTCCGCCACCCGCACCATCTGTCCCGTCCGAATCGATTCATTGGCCGCAATGCCCGTTGCAATCGACCACGCTCCATCCAAATGGGACGCGGCTCTGTTCAGTGGATCCAGGGACTGGATGCCAAAGATATCTTGTAGCAACTGGGGATCACCACCACCATGGCCACCTTCACCCGTTGGTACCTTAATCTCCACGGGCTTGCCCAACATTGGTCGCAGGAAGATGGTCCGACTTTCCAATGCGCCCTCTAGTGCCTGCTCTCCTCCCGAATTCACATATGATTGTTCCACGACCTCAACCTCGAGTCTGCCCTTGCTCCCATTGAAGTTGACTCGAAACCCCTCCCAAGGCGCGTACGCAGTAAGACTATAAGTCAATACCGCACCAGATTGATACCGCACCATCACACCCATTGTATCCTCAATACTAATACCATCCCCAAAAACACTCTGATCCCGATAATACCCATCCTCCCATTCCGCATCCGCATATAGCGCCTTAAGCTGCTCATTCGCCTCCAAATCCAACGCAAACGGATCCTCCCTAGCCACCTCACTCCCCCGAGCTCTAGAGTAGAACTTCGTCTCACCCCGTCGCTCCGCATTCTCCTTCCCGTAGAATCGGAGATCCCCCATAGCAACCACCGTCTCAGGCCTCGTCCGCAGCCAGAAGTTCACCAGATCAAAATGATGCGTTGACTTATGCACCAGCAACCCGCCGCTGTTACGCTTATCCCGATGCCACCGCCGGAAGTAATCCGCTCCGTGCGAAGTATTCAGCATCCACTCAAAGTGCACCGAGTGCACGTCACCAATGGCCCCCGAAGCTAACAGCTCCGCGATCCGCGTGTTATGCGGCGCATACCGATAGTTGAAAGTGACGCGTACCTGGCGCTGCGTGCGATCGACGGTGTTGAGAATTTGTCTGCACCGCGGCGCGTCGATGGTCATCGGCTTCTCGGTGACGACATTGCAGCCGCGTTCTAGAGCGCGGATGATGTATTGGTGGTGCGTGCGGTCGATGGTGGTTACGATGATTTCGTCCGGGTGGGTCTCGTCGATCATGCGGTCGAAGTCAAGGGCGTGGTATGTTGGGATGGGTTTGTGTCCTAATGCCTCGATGCGACTGTTTGCGTATGCGAGGCGGGTGGTGTTAGTATCGCAGAAGGCGACAAGTTGGGCTGCGTCGTGGAAGTCGCGCACGATAGCTGTGTAGAAGAACATGGCGCGGCCGCCTGTGCCGATTAGGGCGTATCGTTTTATCTTGGGGATTGCTGTCATTGTTGTTAATATAGATGATAATATCTAGATTGTGAGGTTGGATAGAGGGATTGAAATTTGGTATTCGGGAAATATAAGCATTTTAAGCACTCGGGGTGTGATATCCCGAAGTGATCGATCTGCGCTTCCCGCACAGACTTCTGATCAGACTGGTTGCAAAGTTTTTCCATGAATAGCGTCTCAGCATGGAATGCGGGGAAGTCCGGGGTCCAATATCTGGGGGAAGAAATCAACTGTGCGTTCGAGAACAAGTATTCCAACTATCGTTGTCCTTGGGTGTAGTACCGTCGATATAGGGCATGCTTTGCATCGGGATATTTTGATCCGAATACTAGAATAAATACACCCATTGCCAACGTAATGCATGCAACGAGAAGCTTAACTACAGATATTCGCTATGGCAGGGCCAGTAGAAGCACCACATGACGATATTACTGCGGTTGAAGACCCCCAAGAACCTCGTAACAAGGGCAAGGAGAAAGCTGCGCGATTCCTTGCCACTGTTGATGAGAGCCAGCGAACATTCACACCAGACGAAGAGAAAGCAGTCTTGAAACGTATCGATCGCCGACTGCTACCTCTACTTTTTGGTGCATATTTCTTTCAACAACTCGATAAGTCCACACTGTCCTATGTGTCCATCTTCGAACTTGTGGAAGATGCGAATCTGCGTGGCCAGCAGTACTCATGGCTAGGGTCCATTCTTTATCTGGCTCAGCTGGTTATGCAGCCTGTCGCAGCACTTCTACTTGTTAAACTACCAACAGGAAAATTAATCGGTTCGGCCGTCTTCCTCTGGGGAAGTTCCTTGGTCATCATGGCAGCCTGCACCGACTTTGCTAGTTTACTTGGACTTAGGTTTACATTGGGAGCATTTGAAGCCATGATAGGTTGGCATCTCCTGAATCTGCGTATACTTTCGGTAGTGCATGCTGTCATACTAATCAAATGAAACAGCTCCTTCATGCGTGGCCGTCACCCAGATGTGGTGGAGACGAGGCGAGCAGACGATACGAACAGCGCTATGGAACGCGATGAACGGCGTGACATTCGTCGTAGGTTTCATGTCTCATCTCCTTTTATGTAGTTGGCCATGCTGACAATGCATTTCTCAGGTTGGAAGTCTATTTACCTATGGACTAGGCCATATCCATAGTGACACATTATTCTCCTATCAGGTGAGTCCCCATGCTGTCAGTGTACACTAAACCATCTCTCTGAACCCACCGTATTTAGATTATTTTCATGTTTTGTGGCTTACTCACTGTCGCCTTTTCGACCGTTATCCTCGTCTTCATGCCCGACTCTCCCGTGGAAGCGAAATGCCTCAATCATCGAGAAAAGGTGATCGCAGTTGAACGTCTCCGCGCAAATCAAATGGGCATTGTCTCGCGCGAGTGGCGATGGGACCATGTCTGGGAGACACTCTGTGATATGAAAACGTGGTGTTGGTTCTTCTTGATTGTGGCAATTTCGTACGTGAATTCTCTCACCCTTTCGACACCATGTATATGGAATGTTAATGTTGATTATACCTAGGATTCCAAGCGGTGGCATTAGCACATTCGGTAACCTGATCATCAAATCTTTCGGATATGGCTCTTTTGAGACCATTCTATTCAACATTCCCTTTGGTGTAATACAGGTAGTAGCCATCCTGGGCGGTGGCTGGCTGGCCACCCGATTCCAACGAAAAGGGCTTGTTATAGTCGGGTTTGCTCTGATAGCTGCTGTTGGAACACTGTTGATGATTGTTGTCCCGCGGAAGCAAAAGGGTGTGCTTTTGTTTGGGTACTATTTGGCAAGGACTGTTCATTTCCTATCAGTACGAGCGTTGTGTTGACGAGTACTAATCGTGATTAGGTATCCTGCCTAGCAGCCATCACTCCCTTAGTCTACGCCTGGGAAGCACAAAACACAGGCGGAGACACGAAACGGAAATGTACCTCGGCGGTTGTACTCATTGGAATGTGTGCAGGGAATGTATGCTTTTCCCCTGGCTTATGCTTATCCCCAGATGGCCCATAATTATACTAATGGTGACCAGGTCATTGGGCCCCAACTATATTCCACATCCCAGGCGCCCTTGTATCGCCCGGGCCTGATCTCCAACCTCATCTTATTTGTAACCGTGGCCGTCTTTGCAATGTAAGCTATTGATCTTTGGGTTCCAGAAATTAGACCAAAGCTGATCCGACCAGACTCACCAATCTATACCTCATCTACCTGAATCGGAAGCATGCCCAGCAGAGACTAGACCTGGGTAAATCCGCCCAGATCCTCGACGAGTCTATGTTGGGCAAGGAAAAGGCAGGCAAAACGGTCGAGCTGGAGGATGTGAATGCAGGCCCCCAGACAGATCGAACCGAAGACAAGGGGTTTTCGGATACGACGGATCTGAAGAATGAGGATTTCATATACGTGTACTAAAGTGAGTTCACTCTCTGGTGACTACAATAGCTGCTACTGCTTCCGATGAACATCTACGACATTGACTCCATCATCTTGCATATCAAGATCGGAGATAAGCGATTAGCAAACAGTAAGATACATTTGGAGTGCCATGCATGGGCTTCTGAGTGTAAATAATAGGCAAATATCAGGGCACCCTTTAGTAAGTCCCCGGTCTAGTATAGCAAAAATTAGTATTACGTGTGGTGGCTAGTTGAGGTTGTGAATTATGAACGAACATGCCTATAATTAGGGCATCATCGGCATCGTAAGCAGCCACTTTCACTAGGTAAGCCACCATTTTCCTTTATTTGCCCGCACCAACTATCATTCCCGCCATATCATATTATACAACAACCCCGAGTCTGTTCAAAACATGGTCATATACAATCTTGGGAAGGATATAATATCTTTGGAGCTGCCCGACGCCATGAAAAAGGAGATGGACTCTACAGATATCTCAGCTAACAGTCCAAACCGACAGCTTCCAACAACCCGGGCATATGAGAGCGCTATGAAAGAATATCGAAACTTGGGCTCGACCAAGTCCCATTAAATTTAAGAGTCTCAAATCGTGAAATTTGGCCCCCGCGTATCAACTGTCGAAGCACAGAACCTGTAGATGATCAAAAAGGTTTTCGGTGACAAAATGCCAGTACCGGAGCTCTTTGGCTAGCGCGTTGACGATTAAAGGCTACGTGTTCATATACATGGAGCTGAAAGAAAGACCGACACTCGCAGAGTGTTGGGATAGTCTCAGTAATACAGACAGAAGGCCCATATCTAATCAGCTAACGCGGATCATGAAGACACTACGCCAACTTGAGCAGGATCCTTCGAACCAGCTTGTCGGTATGCTGAACGCGCATGATAAAAATTTTTCAATACCAAGTGGGTGGCTTACCCTCTTTCGGGTCAATCAATCGGAAGCATCTTCAGGACTATGTTATTACGGAGCAGCCGACAACCGGGACATTCCTTAGCATCAAGGAATATAACGACCGGCTTGCCCTCTTGCACTAGTTTACCTTCCCCCATAGATATAATGATCCCGATCGATGTCTATTGCCAGATACGGGGGAGATTAACTTTACCCATGCAGATCTGGATCGGCGAAATATCATTGTTTCCTCCTTCAATCCTGGCCAGGTTGTCGTCGTAGACTGGCAGCAATCAGGATGATACCCGGATTACAGGGAATACTGCAAGACTCTCTATACTTCCCTGTATATGGATGACACGGGCTATATCGATTATTCCCTGCAACCTCGAACGGACGTATTCTCTCGGCTTTTGCCAAATATTTCATGGCTATGGGCGCCGTATAACCCTACGTTGAGCCCCCCAATATTTGTATTTAGCCTTATAATTCCTACCATCTATTACGATAGGCAACCTCTAGATCCTTGTGTTGAGGTCCGGATGGGGACAGAATGGTGCTCACTAATTTTCTGTTTAGATACCTAGTTATGACAGTTGTAATGATATATTTTAGTTTACAGACCAACCAACCAACAAGGACAAAACACAAAATAATTGCAATGAAACCCTTATCCGTATTCCTGGATTCAAATGGCCTTTTTTGTTGTATATCAATCTTGTCACAGATTTGGTTGTGTCGACGAAAATAAACGACTAGACCACCAAAAATGCCCGAACACTTGAGGTGTCCCAATACGTGATATTTCAAGGTAATCTTAGGTCGACAGGTTGCTTCTTCTGCCAGACTTCCCATACCTGTATCTTGGCATTATCTCGCCGTAGGCCAATTCCGAAGGTAAGGGGGCCATGCTTAGACTGGACGATCTCGATCGTCTGGGCGTCGAGCCATCCTTTCGCAACCAAATGACGTACCTATTCCATCGTCCACCATTGACCATATTTGTTTATAGTCTAGATTAAATTGAGGGCCAGTGACAGGTATGCTTACTCTGAATAGAAGAGCAGCTCACATCATTGACTAGGTCATGAAGTTCTGACTGATGCCTAGAGGCTGCACCTGCGTCGCAGCAATCTCTAGATCTCCTCTAGGATTGGTACATACAAAGATATATCCCACGGCAAACTGGACGCCAGTACCAGAGGGCTTTTACACTCAGTGCGGAAGACCTGCGATGAGCCCTGGCCCAAAGTCTAGATGCGCTGAAGTCGGAGAGTGTTGATCTCTGGTATCTTCACGCACCGGGCCGCAACACGCCGCTCGAGGTCACCCTGCAGGTGGTTGTTAAGTTTCATCGTGAAGGCAAATTTAAATGTCTTAGAATCAGTAACTTCATGTCCAGGGAAGTCGCACAAATTTGTGAGCTTTGCGACCGTCACGGTTGGATTCGTCCGTCCGTCTACCACGGCATCTGTAATCCCCCTTCATCGAGCGATCGAAGCCGAGCTACTTCCCTGTCTTCGGCATTATAATATCGCCCTATATGCCTTTCAACCTTTGGCAGGCGATTTACTTACCGGTCGCTACCAACTGGAAACGGCCTCTTTCGACTCCGGGACACAGTATGATCCTAACAACAGGCAGAGCTCGGTGATGACCGCTCGCTACTGGAGCAGAACTACGTTTGCGGCACTTAGGATTATCCAGAAAACTGCTGAACAACATTCTCTTACACTTGCTGAGTGTGTGAATCGATAACTAGTACACTACTCGGTTTTGAATACGCACCAGGGAGGGCGCTGTCACATCTTCTGGGAGAGGATGTGATAGCAGCGACGGAACAGGCTTGACAGCTCATTCAAGAGCTAATCCGAAAATACTGGCATTGAATGAGGGTCTTAGCTACTAAAAAAAAAAAAAAAAAAAAAATGGGATATGTGCCTCGATATAAGCTGTACCATATGAAACCGAGTTTCTATTAGAATCCTTGCAGAAGTTCTGTACCTTCTATTCTCGCGAGGTTATACATGTTGCCTGCAGAAATGATGGTCTAAGTAGCTCAACTATCTTACTACAATCCGCTCATAAGAGCCCATAGAAAGATTCATCAGTCACCGTGTTCATCCCTGGTCAATGATATCATGAATTAGGCCTTTTAACTGGCTATCTCCAAAAGGTAGCAACCACGGCCGACAATGAGTCGAGAGCCCAATGACATCGATGTTGTATGCACTGTGGTTGAGCCTGGTAATTTTGTTAGTACGGCCCACCATACTAATCTAATTTAGGCCTTAGGAATTCTGCCGTTTTAAAAACCATACATAAAAATCGCTCTATTAAATGCCTAGATAACGCCCATAAAAATATTTAGAAAAAATTGCTCATTAAAATGCTAAAAGAAACACCTATTCTAATACCTAGTATGACCACCTTCAGCCTCTATAATAACCTGGCAGCGGGCCTGCATAGATTCAATTAGACTTTAAAAAACTGATTCAGGGACTGCCTCCCATGCCTCTAATATAATCTGGCTTAGCCTAGGATAAGGCAGATTATTGTCAGTATAACTGTAAGATTCAATCCAATCTTTTATCCGGTTCCATACTCTCTCTATAGGGTTAAGATTGGGTGAGTAGAGTGGCCAAAAAATGAGTGGTATATCCTGTTCCTGTATATCTTGTCTAGTTTCACTAGTATTATGCCCTGGCACCCTATCTTATATAAGAAAAAGACTGATATCTTGATTTTCTGCCTTTCCTGATATAGATAATTAGCTATTATAGGGATAGTATATTCATGATAGCTTTAAGTATTACTAGAATCCCAAGCTATCTCCCAAAATAGACCAAGATCTTTAGTGTTGCCACAAAAAGAATATAAAATACCCAGCCACGATGACGCGGTTATGAGGTTCAAAGACAATCTTTATAAAGAATCTATAGATTCTTCTATAATATCTACCAGGAACCCAAGTCTTATCGGTCTAAAAGACTTTCTATTGTTCCAGTGTCCAACTCACATGGTCTAATGCCCAGGCTAAATATATGCGCTTAGTACATTTAGAAAAAGAAGGTTTTCAAAGAGCTATACAGCAAGAACAGCCACATTGCTTAGGTGCTTAAGATAAAGTATTTCAAGATATACTAAGGTTAAATTCTTGAATAATTTTATTATATAAGTTAATATACAGCGGGTACGCTTAGATAATATTATAAAATTAATAATATTGTCTACCTCAGTATTTGAGAGAGTTTAGATGGTTGACCACGTGCCTTACGTGGTGTACAAGTCTCAGTCTGGCATGTATATTGAACCTGCCAGTAGGTAATATCAGGCAAATGATTAAACAATCTCTTCATAGGTAAAACCAGCGCTTCGAAGGATTAATATGCGTATTTGATCATCCCATTCAAGCCGTGTAGAATTTGTGCGTGAGATAGTAGGAGGGGTAGTAGGTTCAGCTATAGTAGAGTTCTGAATAGTTTCATATTATTGAAGCTCTAAACTGAGCTCTCAGGGGCTCTCTCAATTTTCTGAATAGGCAGGCGGTTTTGGTCTCACCGTTTTGCTGCGGCCCACCCAAGGTGAGCCGTACTAACAAAATTACCAGGCTCAACCACAGTAGTATTGAGTTAACAGACCCGCCGTTGAGTCCACTCATCGATTACACATCACAGAGGACTTGAACGATTGGCGTGCCAGCAACCCACTTCGGCTCCTGCAACTGCAGCGATTCAATTCTACTTGCTGTGCTATAACCCAGCCACCAAAAAGCGGGGTGTACGTCCTGATAAACCCACCCATAGAAACGACCATAACCCCCTTAGCGGACAGTTTACCTCATTAATAATGCCTACCCAGGGGCCAGGCCAAGAGCAGTTGTGTGGTGAGTGTTCGGTGACAAAGCTGCATGATTTGTGGGAGGAGGTACGACGTCGGGAAGAAAACATACAACGTTTGGCAGAACAGAATCGACTTCTTGAAGAGGAACTTCAGTCGGTTAAAGAGTTTGTCCGACGAGTACGCGACGAAGGATTCCAAATCCCAGGCACAGGACCTTCTGCGCTTTTGAATGACTACCTTGTGAGCCAGTTCGGTGGTCTTGCCATACAAGATGAGCATGGTACGTCGATTAGCGGCAAACCGGATGAATACCGACAGTAAATGCCTTCCAGACAAGGCCTTAGAGCTTATGTAGCATGGTTGAAGAGCAGGTCACTGTATGATGTGCGCTGGTGTCTCCCCTTTCTGTTATAACGCAGTACTTGTGGCTTACTATTTGATTTTGAGATAGGGGGCGACAATAGACCAAGGACGAGATGAAACATCACTTCTTGTCCTTTCTTACAGCTTCATACCCTTTATTTTCACGAGCTCTTCAAGGTCAATAGAGAGAAGTTTTTAAGCTTAACGAACAAATCATGACAGGGCCCACCGATACTCGGGGCATTTTAGCTAGGGAGACTCAACTTACATACTATCTATCATGGAAATGGATTTAATTATCTGATGCTCTCTCATGTATGGAATTATGCTGTGGATCATGTGGACATAAATTACGTGATTGCTGTCTAAGTCACGTTAATTTTATTTTTGTGTACAGTCCTTATTGTTGTTGCTCTCGCCGTAAACACTAACCTCCTTTTTCTTATTATGCTCAATATATAAATAGTCGTCTTTCATAGTCATATAACCTATCAATCCTCATAAAGGAGATATACAGAAATACATGTTACACACAGCACTAGCTCATTACATCTATTTTAGCCCTCCTCGTTCGATTTCTCCCTTGCTATGTAAACTGTACCTGGGTAGACCTCCCTAGACAGATTTCTTTGCTCTAGGTAATAGGCATTTTCCGCATCTATCTCTAGATCTGTCTCTGCTCCTGCAAATCATTCCTCTTCTCGAAACCGCACTAATATATTGGTTTAATGCATGGACGGAGCGGGCATAGCGGGTTGCCTGCAAGTTCTATACTAGGTTACCCCTGAAGCTAACGCTCGCTAGTTTGTTAGGCGTCGTCTACCGTGGACCAGCATAGAATGGGGTTTGGGATCCATACCCGCAGTGAAGCTGTTTTGGAGAGGGGAGACACCGTTGCTACACTTCGCTTTCCTACACATAGAGCTCCAGTTTGACTATAATATCTGACTAGTTTTCAAGTTCAATATACGGTCAGTGCAGAAAGGATAAGATTACGAAGGGAAGAAATACTCCGGTCTTCGCAATTTACACGTACATGGTTGAGGGGAACAATTCCCACATCACCGATATAATAACACTACTTGAAAAGAAAAGGACACGACAGCGCACCTTTGCGTATAGTCTAGCCTATTGCGTCATCCATTATATATTGCTACAATGTAACCGGCTACAACGAGTATAAACTCTTTGCAACAATTTCTCAAATAGGGCTATTCTATACCAGCGGCCGTCGCAATGTCGCAAACCCCGATGCTCACCTGGTAAGCATAGCCGTGGAATGTCACATCCGAAGCATTAATTGGCTGTTAGGTGCAGCAACTGCAGTCAAATTATGCGAAGATATGTAAGACAATGTACTGTAGTTGCTTCAATCTAGTGCCAGGAGGGGAAATCATCAAGAGGTACAACTCACACATCAATCGTGCTACTGTTAAGACGATATCGTATTAGTATCGGACTACAGTCAGAGGTGGACCGAGGAACATACTGCAGATCTATTTCTGTTGGTCTGATCTCTCGGATTCGTAAACCCTACCATTTATAGTAAGGGATACGGGAAGACACCATGATAGGAAAAAAGTACGGAAACGGTGGATCGCAACTTGCCACATGTAGCAATGATTGTCAATTGTCCAACAAGAACCCGGGGTACCCGAGCTCAACTACTATCATTCAGAGTACTTATTAAGTACGTCTCAGAGACGTGATTTCTACTGTGGACCGGACCCCTTGTTTGAGGGGGAGGTCGGATTAGCCGATCAATTCCACATCGCAGAAGATAAAAGGTGACTGTAATCTCCTGCAGTCTGGTGTCTAGCATCTACCGCATTGTCTGAAAATGCATGTCATTGCACGTACCACAGCTTTTCTAGGTACAATTTCCATCGTTGCCGGAGCGCCCCATGTTAACAGAGACACCAGTCGGCAGGTTTTAAAGCCTCCTTCACCAGAACCTATCGTTATCACTGAACTACCCTTGCCTCCTGTTGCCGATAATACAGAGGGCTCATGTACACACAAAACTGGATGTCTTCAAAAGTACTCCCAGATCCAGAGTGGAAATTTTCTTCCTGATAACAACCATGTGCTTGTCAGCTTGAACTTCTCCGGAGCGCCGGCAGCTCCCAATCCTGCTAGCATCTACAACGGTACCCATTTGGCTCTGATCAAGGCCGATGGGACCAAGTTCCCAAGCGGCGATCCATGGAAGTGTGTCACCTGCGGTGTCCCGGAAGAAAACAAGGTCGGCAGCACCGAGCTGTCTCCGTATCCCCAGGCTTTCCTAGATGGTAAACGGGCCCTGATCGGGACGAACATCGTTGATTGCGGCTCGGCGCTACTCTCCAGTCCTGAATGCACTCCAAACAAGGTGCATATATACCCAATCCGCTGGAATAACAAAGCCGATGGCTCCGGGCTTGGGGGAGATATACGAGAACTACGCCTACACCCTGACAATGTGCATCTGGGGTTCAACTCCTTCACTTTCTCCAATGGTGAATTAGGTCAGTTCGCCTACTTCAGCCGACTGGAGTTTAATCCATCGCCGACGACTGGCGAACCTCGCTCTGCACGGTACGATCTGGTCAAAGTTACTAGGCTCTATGACCCAGACAGCCCACAGCCTATCAGCGTTAAGGGCGATCAACTCTTTGTCAACCGGTCGGCCATCGCCGTCGGAGAACTGCGAGGATTCACCGGACGTGGTCAAGAGGTCACGTATATCGGAAGCTCTGTAGAGTCATGCAACATCGATGTATTCGCCGCCGACCTTACAACAGGAAAAGTCCGTCGGATTACTGATCACCCCGAGTACGTCGATCCCATTGATGTCTCTCCCGACGGCAAGTGGCAAGTCATCCTCGATACCCGAGGAACTGGTCGGCAGATGTTCATGGCTGGAATGCGCGGCATACCGCCAATTATCGATCTGATCGCTGCCACGGTCGTGTCTTCCACTCGCAACAATGGCCCTCGCCGATTCTTCCGCCCCTGGCTTCTGGACCACGATGGCGATCGAGGTGACTACTACGGCCAGCAAATCAACGGTGCCGGTGACGGAAGCCCAGGAAGCATCAACGATCCCAATTGGAATGCTGGAGCAGACCCAAAGTGGTCTCACGATGGCACTCGCATCGCATACTTTGAAAACCTCGTCGTTTCGCCCTCTTGTGGCGGCCAGAATCCTCTTCCCTGTCCGGAATCCACTGAGCCTGGTGGTCGTGTCACTCGTTTGATGCTTGCTCAGCTCACAAGCCGTGAACCGCTTGACCTGGAGCCGGTTGCCCCGGTCTCTGATGAAGTTCCCTGGGGTGTCCCGTATGTGCCTGAAAGCGCGAATCCTGGCCGTCTTGTTCTAGCCGAAGGAAATTATACTCTCAAGGGAGAGGTGTCAGGTTTGGCCTCTATAGCAATCATTCACGATAAGGCCAATTCAGCAGGTATCAAGACCATCGCAGTCAGCTATCGCAACTATTCTGACGATGGCCTACATACTATCGACGGGTCTGAGAGGTTCACCAATACAGTAACATCCGCGACGATAAGCCATGTGGACTGGTTTTCCGAACTCACGTCTACTGGTCAGGTTACTGCAAGCAAGAAGACTGGCCCCGGTGGGTTCCAGTTGGAGATCGATGCCATGACTAATATCTTCAATGCAAATGGGACCTTGACGACCACTATTGACGGCAAAGTTTGGAAGCAACCTGCGAACGGAACCTAGGGAGTGCTCATTTCCACCAAATACCATGGTATTAACATCTGGTGAACAATAGCGAAACATCTCATCTCAGGGACGGGCGAGCTTGCTGTGGACATGAAATGACTTGGACATAATGAACGGGTATGAGTCGACCTGTATCTAATTGAATTGGAGGGGTTCAAGTAAATTTGCTACTCTTAGGTACTAGCTCTTGTGTCTCGAGTACTCTTAGTACAGCATAAGTATGGACGTGAGCGCGGATTAGAATTCCGTACATCATATTAATGTATCCTAAGTCCCATCGTCCGGAATTGAGGGTCACGACCCAAGGAGTTTACCGCTTGGAGTTCGTACAACAATTTAAGGGATTCATCAGCACCGTTGCCTTCCCCTAGACAAGACAAATTTCCATTCGTCGTTCCACAAGCTTCTCGACCACCACAAAATCGTTAGCATGCGGTGCGGTGATGACACAGTGAGGCACACAATAAGGCAGAAGGCTTCTAGACCTAGACTTTCTACCGAGTGAACCAAAATCTTAGGAACCTCGCTGATTAGAGAAATAACAACCGTAAAATGTTAAGCCCATTGTCCAACGACTTAAGGCTAGTAACCCTACAATAGCGCACCTCTGGCCAAACTGAGGCGTAGTTTCTCCTGTTGTGGGGCGAACATAATCGCATGCTCTCCTCTCGTATTCTCCATGCCTATGTCACTCACAAGGATTAGTTCAGAGTATACCGATTCTAAGTTCAGTCGATCGTAAATTTCTCTCCAAGATTGGTTTTTTGATCCGGGCTAGAAAAATTCTGGATAAAGAAGAAAAGAATGCATTCTCTTAACTAACCCCTTATTCATGCTCAAAACAACCAACTATTTATTTATATCCACATGCATCATTATATCCTATGACGAGCCATATATAAAAACTCTTCCATGATACATTTCCAAACTATTCAAGCCCCAATATCCAATCCCAGACAAACAATCCCATCACCCACCTCCCCTCACGTCAAACCCTACACTCAAAATCCCCTCCTTCTAGAACTTCCAGAACTTCCAGAACCACACCCCCCTCGTGAATATTCCTCCAACAAGTAAGGCTGACACCCAGCACCGACAGCAGTGTAACAAAACCTGAGTGGGGATCTCGTTTCGCTTCGCGCCAAGGACAATTCCAAGTAGCCAATTCGACAACCTTGCAGGCTAGTCCAGTCTAGTGCGAGAAAACCTCGGCTGTCTGCTATCAAATCCTTCAATAGATCCTCTCTCGATCAATGTTCCATGGCCGGGGGCGCTCGACCCCACTTTTTTCGCGATTTCCGCGTGCGGATCTTCTCCGAGAATGCCGTCCTACGGTAGTGTGTGATGAATACGATGATCTGCCGCTGAAGAAGATTCTGGATTGTTTACTATGGCTTGTATTATGTTATATACCTTTTAGGCAAGGATATTTAGGGTTTGTCTGGGGTACTGGGTAGGGATTTGGATTTGACCAAGGGGGATTATGAAGGGGAGATAGATAGGGTTGGACATTTGGGATCACGCCACTTGTAGACAATAACGCTACTTGTTTCGAGTGATGAAATTACGTATAATTGTTTGGCCATTTATGGAGAGACTTTATCTTATGACCGGCTAAGTGATACCGGAAGGGTGAAAAGAAGGAAATGAAAACAAAAAAAAAAAAAAAAA